ATTTTCAAAATAGCGTTTTGAAAATGTCCATCAAGAACGCACCTGATTGGCCTATTGCTGACCAATAGAATTTGCCATATATTTATAGCCCCAAGATTTCTCTTTCAAATGGTGCAAACCGCAGGTCTCTATCTTGTTTCTATCAAAAGTTATTCAAAAAACCGTAAGGTGTCTTCTATTTTGAAATGGATAGTAGTTAGACGACGTTAGTATCAGCGATAATATACTGTTAAGAACATTGTAGCTAATAATACAGTTAATCTATCCTTAATTTTGGAATACACAACAGAGTATAATTATTATTCAACAATTTATTCTAGTTTTAGAATATCTCTAACTATCGTCAGTCAAAGAAGAATTCACAGAAGACTTTTAATATTTCTACTTTTAGAAAATAAGAGAATCAAAAAGTATGTCAAACATTTGAAGAATTTATGATTATTTCTGAACTATGACTCGCTCATTCTATGATAACTACAAAATTTTCCTTGGCATAAACTATTCCATATCTAATATAATTCTACTGAGCGACCGAATAGTATTAATCTATTGAAAACAAATTTCTCGACCAACGAGATAAAAACACCTTTGAGAGTGTGAATGTCCGTATAGGGTATACATGCGGATATCAGTCTTCCCTTTATACCTAACTCTACACCCATACTCACATTCCACTATTAACAGAACCATTTAATGACATCTGGAACATTTTTGACATTTTTCAAAGTTATATATTTTTCTTCCCGATCTTTTATACGATCAATACTTTTGCTTTTGGCCAAACTGAAACATATCTAGCAATCAAGTAAAACAAAATCATATTGCACGTTCGTTCGTACAACCGCTCGATCAAACAATTATTTAAGTTTCGAACTATTGTCAATTGTTTTTTTGTTCAGTTTAAATTTCATGGGCAGTGAATCAATTTTTTTTTCAATCGTTTTTGAATTAGCACATTAATTTTATAGTCAAGGTTGTATCTTTTTCTCTTCTTGTGTGTATCATTTTCATATATATTCTATGGACTTACCGCACTTAAATAAACTTGACGTCTTTTCCAACCGATAAGCAGACCTTGTGAGAATTTTAAAAAAAATAATAAAAGAATACTTTTGTTTACCTCGTTTTATCAAGATAACCAAAATATTGAAGGTAAAGATATAAAAACACATCACTACTTATTGTGTGGCATTGAGACAACTTGTCTTATCTTTTTATATCAACTATATACACTATTCTTCTTACACTACTGACATTCATTTTGATCAGTATTTATAACCACTTTTTCTAATAATACAAAAAAAAAACAAAAAAAAAGAATGAAATACATTTCATCGATTCATTAATCATAATATTCTAGATCATAATTAATTTAAGTTTTTTAGTCATTTCAAATGTACAATATGATAACAAAAGAAAAATTAATTAATTGTGGCATATGTAAAAAACAATTTAATGATCCACGTATATTACCTTGTTCACATACATATTGTCTACGTTGTATTAAACAGATTGCATCGAATCATTCCGAATATTTTGAATGTCCTCAATACGATGGAGCTATAGTACCGAAAGATTCTATCGATACATTAAAAGTAAATCAAACAATAAATGATATAATTGAATTCTTAAGTAAATAAATCAAATGATTTATATCTTTAGTTTTCTATGAATATTCTTATAGATTTTAGTTCTGGTTTAATTTCATGTACGAATTGTAATTCGACTACATCTGAAACTTGGTGTAATAATTGTACAACTAGTTATTGTGCACGATGTTGTCAAGACGTTCATAGAATACGTGCATTTCAAAATCATCAACTAATATCATTAAGAGAAAAATCAATTGAATTAATGTCTTGTGAAAGTCATCAAGATGAAATATTGAAATATTGGTGTCTAAAATGTGATACATGTGTTTGTAGTGATTGTCTATTAAATGATCATAAAGAACATCCATATATATTAATTCATAAAGCTGCTAAAGATTTCGAAACAAAAGTAACTTTTAACAATACAAATAATTCTATATGACATTTTTGTTTTTTTTGTTTTTATTTAGGTAAATATTGATTTATCTAATATTGAATTATCTTTAAATAAAAATATAAATCAAACGGATGCATCAATAAGTATAATTAAAGATGAACATGAATCGAAAAAAGTTATGATTAATAATTCAATGAATTTTTTACAACGAATTATTGATGAACATGAAAAAGAAATATTAGAAAAAATTCAAAATATTGATGAAAATAATAATAAACTTATGGAAGATTTTAAAAATCGATTACAAAATGAATTAGAAGATTTAGAAAAACAAAAATTAACATTAGAAATACTTCGATCAAGTAAAAATCCAATGAAAATAATGCGTGCTAGACAAGAATTTATTGATTATATAAATCGAAGAAATCGAATATTACAAGGTTTACAATTACCAACTAAACATACTTATCGTATAGAAGGTATTGATCAAGTACAAAATGTAAGAGAACATATTTTACAATGTGGACAATTTATCGATAGTGTAAAACATCACGATGAAACAATAACATATCATAATCCACAACTTGAAAAATTAATTGCTGATAATCAAATGAAACAAGAATGGAATTTTGAACGGAAAATTTTAATTGATGAAGATATGAAAATTCTAGCTGATGCATTACAAAATAATACAGTAAGAAAAAAAAAACCATTGTTTTCGTTTATTGTTCACATATGAACGAAAAATTTGTACTATATCACCGACAGATATGATAGATACTTGTCAAAGACTATCATAGACCGAACCATTGTAGAAAAACAAAAAGCTGCGCTTTTTACCTTCTNAACGACTGATGAAGAAAAAGTATCTATTCAACACCACTTTGAATGAATGAAGGATAGTCAAGGTAAAAATCTAGATATCATTGTTGATTATTTATAATCCATTGAAATCAAGAAGAAAATCTTCTTACCGATGAATGCCACATTGGCTGCTTCTTACAACAACATTATTTGAGTTTACGACAACATGAGTGATTATTTGAAGGCAATTCCATTTTTTGTCATCCTCTCCGATGGCTCTATATTCGACGCGTCGAAACTCTTCTTATTGAAATTCAAAATATGTCTTCAAGATCTTTTATTTAAAATACAAGTCTATCATTTTGAACATGTATTGGTTACCTTACCATAGACACTGTTCGATTGTGTTGTCAATAAGACAGAGTCTTTTTGTACGTGTGCAGTCGCTCGGATCTTCAAATAAAAGCTGAAGTAAAATACGGTTTTCTATTCAATACATTCATTTCTTCGAAATAAACAAAAATGAATTACATTTTCTTTTTCATACATTCGAGCTTATCTCTGTATAATTGAATATGTGAATGATTCGCAAGTAGTGAAATTTCAACTGTTTTAAAAGTCTGTTCAAAAAAATGGAATTGCCTTCAAATAATCACTCATGTTGTCGTAAACTCAAATAATGTTGTTGTAAGAAGCAGTCAATGTGGTATTCATTGGTAAGAAGATTTTCTTCTTGATTTCAATGGATTATAAATAATCAACAATGATATCTAGATTTTTACCTTGACTATCCTTCATTCATTCAAAGTGGTGTTGAATAGATACTTTTTCTTCATCAGTCGTTGTTTAGTCAAGCAGGATAACATATATATCTTCTGCTTTATTGAACTTTTGAAGCCTAATTAGTAACATACTCAAGCGATCCCATTCTTTCAGATGAGGAGAGATCTCTTTGTACATTTGTTCAGTAAGTGCGTGAACAATTGGATCGTTGTCACTGGTGAATGCTAATTCTACTTGTCACAAATAATTATTTTCATCAATTTGCTTCATTGGACCAATACGAAAGATGAAGTATGTGAAGAAGAGAATTTCTTCTTCTTCTTCTTCCTTGAAATAACTGATGTCATGAACGTTTGCAAAAGGAATAGTTGATGTTGGTGAATTAATATTTATTTCAAAGAGTACACCAAACAGGTCGAAGTCATTTTGATGACTCTGAACAAAGGCAAGAGATACGTCTCGATCACGACTTGTTGATAAAAAGTTATTAAATGATAATAGTCCACCTTTGGTTTTAATTATTTGATCAAATTGTATCTGCGACAAGCCGTGATCACGATGTACAGTACATTAATTCATATGCTCACGCTCAGCAAACGCGTTGGATGTGAAGCTCGGCAATGTTATTGTAAAAATCTTGAATGAAAAAGTCATCCAAAGAATAGGATCAATCTCCATCGTTCGTAATGATCGATTGAGCATCAAATATTTGTATGGTATACCATCAAATTGGAAGATGCTCATGGTGTTCTCATTCAAGTTTATTGACATTCTGCATTTCCTTTGGATTCGTGGTAAATAATAGACGATAATAAGTAGTAAATTCATTGACGATATCTGTAAATAAATCGTTGATTTGTGGCCATGTTTTGGTTCAATCTTCATATTGGACTTGGTTATTACTCAAAATCTAAATAGTACTGACTTGACGAATCCTATGGATGATAGGGACAGTTGTTTGTTCCCAGACATCAGAAAATATCATAAATATTTACTGTTCTTAAATATCTGTTATAAAATCAATGTATTCATTTGTATCAGCGAATGAATATATATATTTCTTGTCATTTCTTTTAATTTGTTGATGATGTTGTGATATAATTATCATTATTCATATAATCAATGTTGATATCGAGTCATACTAGAAGAAAATTCTGAACCATATGATCATAAAGAGGCTGTCGTGGTCTTATACTCATATATTTAAATGGTCTAGCAGCAACAGCAGTAGTAGCAGTTGTTATTGTCGACTATTTCTTTTTGTCAATGTTGGTATTTTTTTTTTTCTAGATATTTCTATTTATTTTTAATATTATTACCTTCTGAATTGGTTTTTCTTTTCCGTTTTACTCTAGCGAAAATCTTTTATGTTTTCGTACTAGACCCGTAACAGATACAATAACGATCCGGTAAGGATTCACTGTAACTCGCCTTTTCACGTTGCTGTGGAATCGTATCCAATAATCTTTATCTCTCTTCCTTTCACTGCTCGCTACCATGATCTACGAGAGAAGCAGCTGCAAAAACCTCGTTTTAAACTTCTACTCATTATTATTTTCTTTGAAAATATACATGAGTTTCACAAAATGATGTATAGAGTTTAGCGAGCAGAACTTCAGGCCATTTTCGGTCTTTGTAATTCCCATATGTTCCTTTAGGAAGCATCTAGGCATATCGAGCCTATGACAGCATTTGTTATAATTATTCAGTACTATCAGTCTTGAAAGTTTTATAATTTGTTATTGAGTAATTCCTGAGAAGTGTCGAAAAAGAGGGAACCGTAAAACTATATTCTAGTGACATCTTTTGTCGTTAGAAATCTCATATATTATAAAACGATGACTGAAACGAATAAAATGCTTGTCCTGTTTTCTTCTTCTAAATCATCGTCATCATCATCATCATTCATTTGTTTCGTATTTCATTATCGACAATGTCAAATCCATTTTTAATTCTATCGGATTCATCATCAACTTCAACAAATCCATATTCAACAACATCTTCAAAAGCAGCTTCAATCGATAATGATTCTTCATTGACTTCAAATATTTATAAAGATATTCTTGAATATGTTCTTCTATGTACTATCGATGAACAACCATCATCATCATTTATTTATTTAGCTGAATTAGCTGTAGAATTACCTGAAAATTGGCAAAAGAATTTGATTGATCAAGCTTTATTTGAACGTCTTCATATGATAGATCCATCAAGTCATTTATTAATATCAACAACAAAAAAATCAACGATTAGAAATGATGTAAACATTATTATTGAGACACGTTGTTTACACTATTTAGCTGGATGTTATCAAAGATTATTACGACAACATGTAAAGTTTTTATTTTATTTTGTCATTTTAATTAATATAAAGATTTATATATTTAGGATCATTTTAAATTAGTATTCGAAGATATTAGAAAATTATTTATTGATCATACGAAAACAGCAATTAGTTTACCGGATCTTTATGAAAATCAAGATTTATCTAAACAATGGTTAGAATTATTAATTGAAGGTCAAGGTAGGTAGATTTTATTTTATTTCATAAAAATTAAAAAAAAAAAAAAAAATTTTTCAATCATTTAGAAAATTCACTTTTGTATGAATATATTGATTGTGTTAATAATGAGTCTTTATCACAAATAACTGATGAAATTGAAAATCTTTACAATTCTGTCTTTCGTTATATGTACAAAATGATTCAACCACTTGATTATTTTTCAACTGAACTTATTGCATATGTTGGAGCATTAAAACAGTTAGCAAAATGGCCGGCACTTGTTCGAGTATATTTTAACGAAAAAAAAAAACAATAATATTTCATTAAATTTTTTTTTTCTTTTTTACTCTTTTAAGATCATCTTTCGATTGTCTCATCCAAAAACAGCATCTAATCGTTCTATGCAAATTCATTTTGGATCCTCAGGTGGTGGTCGAGCATTTGAAGATACATTAGTTGGTAGTTTTCTATCAAAATCATGTTTACCTTCATTACCCGGAAAACCTTATTTATTCTTTGAAAAACCGAAAGTAATGACCGAACATGATGTTGATTTAACAGCTAAAACAATGTGGCAAGTAAGATTAACAAATATTATTCATTTTACACTATAATCACGAATCCTAGAGAAAAGAATTATTCGAAAGAAAAACAACTATCTTTGCGTTGTTTACTAAGACGCTACGATGTATGTGCTGTATAATAGAAGAGATAACGAATTTTGTATGTCATAAAAGATATCAATTACATATTGTTAACCCGTATTGTTATCATATAAAGTTCAGTAGATCAATTAAAGATTTAAGAATCCTATTTGAATAGGTTTCATTGTACATTATATTACTCTAGTGTAGAAAAAACAATTATTAATTGACTTGTATGAACTGTTAATTACGAATGAAAAGTGTAAAGGTTGATTAAAAAAATTTGATCTGAACTGAAAATATCCAATGTTTGTCAGTAAAAGTGAACTAGAAAGAAATATTTGGACTTGTAAATTTTCAAATCATTTCAATTTTTGCAGATAATTAATATTTATGTACGATACAATGTTTTCAATCATATTTAGACCAATTGGTAATCCATTCACACCTTCTATTTTTCTCTAGATATGGCTGATCGTTTAGATTTTCAATCTTAACTTGAAGATATAAAGAAAAGTTAATGTTGAAAAATTTCTTCTATAGGAAACAGTCAGTTCAAAAGACTATTGTGTTTCGTTTCAAATATGTCTGAGAAAAGTTAATACATCAGTCATAATTTGACAATCATTTCATTTGGCTTTGATTCTTTACAAGGATTATTTTTCTAAATAAGTTCATTTTTATCACTAACCATATGATAAATAAATCCGATAACTTCAAGAGAAATTCTATGACACAAACGGAATCTATGGTAAAATTTCAACAAGATCGAATTTCAAAAGGCGTACTTTAAAAATTAATTGTCTAGAAATTTTGAACATTTATAATTGGTTTTGAATTTCTCATCGGGTTATAAGAGCATTTTTTCGTTTGTTTAGTCGTATATCATCACATCATTAACCAAAAGTAAAATGATTTTTTTGAAAAATTTAGGCATGTTTACAAAAAAAAACTTTAGTTTGAGATTTAATAGCCTCGAGAGTTGTTTACAGAATTTACTATTTAGTTTTCAAAAATACTGCTTCAATTCGAAGTTTTTTTTGTAAAAATGCATGAAATGAAAGATAATGTCTTTCCGTGTACTACGTCATTAATATTAGGTTTTTGCCGATATACACAACTAAAAATTTAACTAGTTGTGGAATATATTCCAAAGAAAAATGACTATTCTATATGATTACTATGACTGAATAAGTCAAAATAGTATTTGATTGATTATAGAAAAAAATCTTGGTTTTATTTTAATGAAAATGATTCATTGGTAATTATTATTCTTGTTTATTTAAGCCAATGCGAACATATCAACAAGATTTATCTGATTTATTTTTGGCTTTTGTTAAAAATGGTGATGTACGTAATGATATATTAAAATGGATTGGTGATTGTTTAATTGAAAATCGAGGTAAATTATATATTTAATTAATAATATCAAACATGTTTGTTTTGTTTTTAGGGAAAAATAAAGAATGGTCATCACATAATCCTTTAACTGCTTATTTATATGTTAGTGATGGATTTTTATTGAATTTAAATCTTATTTTACTTAATCTTGCACGACCTTTTTCTGAACCTTATTCATCGAAATTATTAAAAATTAATCCTATTTATGCCATTAGTCAAAATGAAAATGTTCATTTAAAAGGTAAAAATTTTAATGAGAAAAATAATATATTTTTGCTTTTTCTTTTATAGATCTTTATAAAGATACACCGATAATTGTTCGTGATGAAGATAATACAAATGAAAAAAATAATACAATAACATTTAATTTTATAACAGAAATTTTTTTTATGTCACATCTTAGTTATTCATGTTCAGTACAAAGACTTCATAGAAAATTATTAAAAGTAACAAAATTTTATCAAAAGATTTATCAAAACAAAAATATTTTATTTAGATTAATGAAGAATTATCACATGTACAACATGCATATAATGATGCTACTAGATTACATGGAGCTAATGATGAAAATGTACAAGGATTAGAAGAAGCAATGGAAAAAGGTAAATATATACAATGAAACATTTTAATTCTTAATAAGATTCGCATCTTGAAGTTAAAAATGAGAGCCTACAAGATTTCGTACAGAAAAACATATGATCTTCGAAAGATGAATTTTCTAATCTGCTTGTCTGCAAAAAAAAAAAAAAGATATTTATATTGTGAGTTTGTTCACTGTTGAAAATGTTTAATAGGCATATAATCTTAGTCGCCGAAGGCAAAGAAAATTTCTTAAAAGATTCTAGTTAATCTGGCTCAAATTTCCGTGTAGTTTTACTTCACTAGTAATGAAAAATTACTATTTCAAATTATTTTCGATGTTATAGTTTAATATTTGCATACTTATTCAAGATCGACTAATTCAAAGTTCGGACCTGATAAGCCAAAGTGCTATTTGAATAGATCAGAAAATATTTTTAATAGTTCTTCAGATCTAAACTAGAAGTAAACTTGTTGACCTTTTTATAATATTCATAAGTTCTAAGATTCAATGAAAACTAGTTTGAATGTAAACAAAGAATTATCCCTATCCAACTATATCTATATGAACTATGAGTACTTGAAACAATGTTTTAAAATGATATTATCTCTTTAATAATAGTGATATAAATAGAAGAAATATGATAATTCGGGTGTAGATATGAAGGATAGTCACATTCACGCTCTAGATCCTACGTATCGTTTTCTATAATTGTGTTACATTACACTGTTTAAAAACTAATTTTCGTTGAGACTCTAAATTTATGAGACAACATTTTGTAGAAAAATCAATGTTGTGTCAAAAGCGTTTGCTAAGTCTATTTAACTACGATAATGTTATCACTAGCCTTTCATGAAATGGATATAAATAATTTATATTTTCTTATTTGTCATTTACTCTATCGACAGAAGGAAAGATAATTAATGTTTTTCTTCTTAGCTGTTATTATATGTAGATAAAAAATAGACGATATTGGTTATTTAATGTCGTAGTGACCTAATAGAATGACTTGTTTATTCAAATGAGATGATGAAAATAAAAATATTAACTGAACTATTTTATCTTATGAAATAGAATCATTCAAAAAATTGAATTTAGACACTTATCAATCTTCTCATTTAATAAATAAATGTCGAAGCTTTTCTTTCATCATCAATGAACAATTTTCAGTTTGCATGATTTCATATATAAATATCAGGCATGCAGAATGAGATTCTTCTCTATTTTGTACGATAGTATATACATTTACAAGCTATACGAATGTGAGATAGTTTCAATGAATTATTGCTATACTAGAAACAATTATTCTAAAATGTTGTCTAGACTCATGTTAACAGTTTCCATAGAAAAATATTTCGTATGTTGATTGGTAACATCAGAAACATTTTATCTTCTTGTCTAACTATATATAATTCATAGAATGTTGAATACTAGAAGAAGAAAAAAATCTTTTAGTTTAGAAAACTCTGTTTATCACTAAGAAAAAACATATTTACNTGAAATTTTTAAATTTTAATTTCTCGTGTGACAAAAACATCATGACAAATATTAAACATAATAGAAGCACATATTTTTTTGTTATAAATACAGTTAAAATAAAAACACATGTATATGCTATTATTCTATTAAATCGAATCGAATTAATTAAGAATATAGTTTTCTTCTTCTTGATTAATAATCTCATTATTTTTATTTGTCTTTACCTTATATCGAACATTCTTTAGTCATGCCGGGCACTAGTTATAAGTATCGATTCTTTTTACAGTAAGAATTTGAAAAAGTCTGTAATCATTCATAATGTAAAGGCTAATAAATATATTTTCCATTGTGTTCGNGATATAAGGTAAAGACAAATAAAAATAATGAGATTATTAATATATTTTTCATTGTGTTCGATCATTCTAATATTGAAGAAAATGATTTTTTTGTTCAACACTTTAGTTTAGTTTTGACTGATGCTATTTTTTTCTTCTTCTAGATTATTGCTGTACAACAAAAAGAAAATGATGCAGTATATGATGATGCACCAGATGAATATCTTGATCCTATCACAAGTACTCTCATGGTTGATCCTGTTATGTTACCTAGTTCCCGACAAATTATCGATCGTTCAACTATTGCTCGACATCTTCTTAGGTATTAATTATAAATAAATTTTCAATTAGATTCTAATTTAAATACTCATATTATATTTAAAATAGTGATCAAACTGATCCATTTAATCGAAACCCATTACGTATGCAAGATGTTATCCCACAATCGGAATTAAAACAAGAAATTGAGCAATGGAAGATGTCACGACATCGACAACAGTCATAAACATATTTAAACTTATGCATTATATGTTTTGTTTGTTTTTTTTTGTATTAAACAAAAACAAAAAATATAAGTTATTGTTCAATTTTACAAAAAAAAAAAAAGAAAAACGATCAATCGCACGAATGTATTTTGTTTGAAATATTTTGCAGATTATTAATATATTTTTCTCATTCGATCTATATGGATACATCACTTGTTCGTGATCTTGGTCGGTGGACTGAGAGTTTTTTGAAATCAATTGGGTTTGAATTATTTTTATTCTAATTAATATATTTTAGTGTCTTGATTTAGACTCAAACCACTACCTCCATCACCACCACCTCCACCACCAGTACCAACAATATCCATGATTTCAGGTTCAATGTTATCTCCAACTATGAACAATTTTATTCGTTGTGCTGGTTTATCTGGTGCATCAGCTATTTGTTTAGGCCTTTATGGAGCTCATGTGATGAAAGAGAATACACCAGATGATCTTAGACGTGTAAGTTTATGAGTAATATTATATTAATCTTTTAATTTCGTATTAATTTAGTTATTTCATTTGGCACAAACATATCATTTACTTCATTCAGTAGCTTTACTTGCTTTACCATTAGTTCCTCGACCAATGGTTACCGGTTCTTTATTTCTCGGTGGTTTAGCTCTTTTCTGTGGTCCAATGTATTTTCATGCTATTCGTAATGATACACGACTTCGTCCTGTAACACCATATGGTGGTATTCTTCTTATTGCTGGATGGTTATCTATTATTATATTTTGAAGACATGAACGTTTTTCTTTTTTTTTTGATTAACTTTATTAGTAGAAAAGAATATAGTTTGAAACATAAAACATTTGAAAAGAATAGATTATAAGTCATGGTTTCTTTTTCTATCGATTGTATTTACATAACAATGAATTTTACGCAAGAATATTAACCAAAAAGAGTACATTCATGTTATTTAATAACGAATGTATTGAACGTTTTTTAAATAAAATATTCTTTCATTTGTCAACCAATTAAGAAGATCATTGAAAAGTATTAAACGCTTGGTTAGAACTAGAATTTTTATGAGGGATCATAGGTCAGAAGTTATGAGCAAATCTTTGAAAAAAAAAAACTTCGGACAATTTTCGATACTTGATAAAAAACGTTCAGAATAGAGATAATATTTGTTCTACATACACCAATGTTTCTACAAAACAGTTTTCTTCAAGATGTTTATCAACAATCGAAATGCTCGATGAAAAGAAGCACGGATGTTCATAAATTTTTCATAGCGCACAGATAATTGAGAACATTAATATAGCGGTGAAATACTATTAACAATCGGACTACATCGTTGTATTGAGATTGAGCAGATCAAAATCTCAACCACAGACACAAACATACCTACACTATCCGTATTGTGAAAGCTGAAGACATTCTGATCATAAGATTCTAAAAGACTTTATTTTGTCATTGTCATGCAAATTATAGAAAAAATCTTTCAGAAAAGTAAATATATATAATGATAGAGAATTTCAAGCTCTATTACAATATATAGTTATTTTTCTTAAAAAGTATTTCTTTAATTTTGATGATAGTGACAAAATAAAGTTCGTGAGAATTTGATGATCTAAGTGCCTTCATTACACTCGATGTATTATGATAGTGTATAAGTGCACACTGAAACATAAATACGCAGTCCAATAGAAAATTTCAAGGATTTTCATATTATATACTTTCCTTTTCTATCTTGAAAACTATGTTTGTATAGTGATGATATATTTAATATACGAACTGTAACTATTTATTTCTAGGGAGATATATATGTAGTCAAAACTTATTGAAAAAAATTCATCACTTGTTGAAATCGTGCGTGAAAATAGGCGCATTAATGAACAACAAACGTACACTCACACTCTCAAATAGTATGAGCGTACAGCAAAAGTCTCTAGTTGAAGAGTCTTTTAACATTTGATTTATGCTTTTCGACACACGATACAATGATGAACATCTTGCATAGGTTCAAAGTATAAACCAAGTTCGTTCACACCCAACCACATTGAGTATTTTCGAATTCATGGTTGAGACGGAACCGCTGAACATTCGCATCATATGCTTCATTCACAACGATAACCCACCGAAGGATTTGGCTCGGATCTTTTACACAAAATTCATCTCGATTGGGATTTGCATGTACATAGTAGACAGTATCGTAATCTTTCCACCATCTTCTGCTATTTGAGACGGTATAAAGCTGAGACCAAGTTACTTCTTTTACTTTGCCCATTTGTACCTCAGCACAGATGGTAGCACCACTATGACGAGCTTTTCTTTCAGTTCCTTTGATTGATCGAGCAAAATATACTCCAAATCCAAGCATCTGTGGTGGTTTGTTGTTGATCCTAAAGTCTGAGTGAGCAATACTCACGGCTGCCTCGGGTGTTGTGCAATGAAAACCAACATAAATACCTTTCTCTCGATCGCTATTGCTAAGCTCTGTCCATCTTAACTGAGGTTTATACTTGCTCGAATGAAATATCATAATGTGTTCAAGTTCACGTTTCGTACAAGTGTTTTGATTTATACAAGGTTGATTACCTGGTACAATCATAGAGCGATTATCACCTAACAGATGATAAGGAAGGAAACGAACGTGTTTCGGCGATAGACGTTGATACGATCTGTCATCATCGCATGATGGTCGATAGTGCCACCATATTCTATAACGAAAGATATCAAGCAAAATCATGCATAATGGACATAAAACTGATATTCCACACAAAAGTGCAACTTGACTTTGTCTCCCATCTATATCTCCAGATTTTACAGTTGCGTAAATGATAACAGCGACTAATCGTAGGATTGAACTTGAAACTAAGAATATCATACGATGACGAAAGCGATTTTTTGGACGTGTTACATAAAATGGGAAATTGCAATTGAGTGTCACGAATCGAAGTATAGCAGGCTGACAAATTTGTTGAGAACAACATGTTCCTGATCTTTTACCAGTACAGATAACACAGATGCAACTAAGCACAAAAATCGCGAGAGATACATAGATTAATATACCAGTCAAAATTGCAGTTCCAGAGCTTATACAATCAAGTACAAAACCAGCACCTACTTGAGCATTGTCTCTAATCAAATTAGATCCTCCTGAGAGACTTAATAATCGAGCAAAAGCTAAAATAGCTTCAGCTGTAGCGATTAGTAAATAAAAAACGGGCAAGCCACGATAAAGAATAACTTTCAAAGATACACATGAATGGTGACTCATAATATATCGGTCGATAATACTGATTGATTGTTAAAGAATATTTTTGGTCAAAACTCCCAACAACGTTCGTACTTCTTTCTCTTGCTTTTTATCAATTTTTTGTTGGAAAGATATCATGCAGTTTTTTTCTTCCAAGAATTTATATAGTTTATGGGCGTATCTTGAAAGAATATCAAGGTAGACACATAATATAATCTTCACATGTGTTTATTTCTTTTGTTGCATCGATGTACGATGTCAACATAAGATAAATATAGCATAAAAAATACGAATGTCGAAACAATAGATCTATTTTTGATACATCACACACTTCATTGAAAATCATTATCTTAAACCGTTCTATCAAGTTATTATTGAGAGTGTGACGTAACTATTATTGTTATCATAAGAGTATGGTAAAACATTGTTAAGCTCGTCGTTTGTCGATTTACATGCAAATCGACAAAATATGTTCCAGTTAACCCTTAGCGATGTAAGAATCACTTTTCAAATCATAATTTAACTCAATTGGTTTGAGTAATATTGAAGAAATTTTCATGTATCTTCGTTTTTATGATACATTTCAGTGAATATTATGACCTTTTGAAATTTTCTGCTAAATTTTTGTATATTATTATTGTTTGAAAGATTTTCTATCATTGTGCTAATTACCTTTTTTCATTTCAAACTTACTTTTGTGAAATGAAAGAGATGACTAAGAATGTATTTCATCAAAGAGTCAAAAATAATAATTGACTCCTATATTATTATTGTCGTTTGCAACTATGACTCACAGTGACGTATCCAGGATTTTCCAGTATGCTGAATCTTGACTTTTGAGCATGGGACCCAAATGAAACTCATAGAGGACGATGTTGAGTCCAAATGATGGAATTTTATCAAAAAAAATTTGCACTCGGAGTTTGCGAAAAAAATTAGCATTTTCCTGATCCCCCCTCCTAGGACTTTTTACTGTTAGTATTATCTTGGATTTTAGAATTTCATAGGAAGCTATACCGAATTTCATCGACAGATTTTAAATTTCGTCTAAAAATGTGCAACCGTTCAAGAGTTATGATGTTTTGAAATTTCGAAAAAATTGTTTCCACATGTGGCAAAAATTCAAAAA